TAGGAGCAGTGCTTTCTCAGGTCTTCCCCTCCTCTCCTAATTCCTCTCATCCTCGTATCCCTCGCTTCCCACCACCTACCCCTACCACTGCTTCCCGACTGACGCTTACTCGTCCAGCTACTGACGAGCCTACTATTGACTATTCTCCTACCATCGTCGAGGACGGCACTGTCGAGTCTCGCTCAGGTGATTGTCTGATAGCCTTCTACTCCCGTCAGCTCCTGCCCGCCGAGATAAACTACACCGCTGATGAACGTGAGGTTCTCGCAGTAGTTTATGCCGCTCGGCACTGGCGTTACTACCTGCACGGGGCACCATTCACGGTGCGTACGGACAACTTCGTTGTCCAGGCTTTTCTGACAAAACCGGAGCTCACTCCTCGACAGGCTCACTGGTGGCGCGACCTATCCGAGTTTAGTTTCACCACTGAGCACATCAAGGGTGAGACTAATCAGGTCGCAGATGCCCTATCCCGGCGCCCTGACCACGACCAGGAGCAGATCTAGCTCTCTTCCATCTCGGTCACCACTGTCCACCACTCGGTGATCGACGAGTTTCGCACTCAGTACTGTCACCGCCCCGACTATCGCGACATACACGCGACCCTTCAGAGTGGCAAGACCGTCCTGAACTACTCTCTCGGGGACAACGGTCTCGTGTACTGGCACGTTCACAGGGCACCAGAGAGCCCCGCATTTGCGTTCCCTCCACTGGACAGCTACGTGTCCGCGCAGTAGCAGAGTTCCATGACCAGGCGGACGCCGGTCATATGGGCTTCCACAAGACGTTGGCTCGTGTGAGCCGCCTGTACGTCTGGCCGAAGCGCAAGGACTTTGTGAAGGACTACGTCGCAGATTGTCCCACCTGTCAGGAGGTGAACAGTGCGAACCACTTGCCTTATGGTTTGCTCCAGCCTCTTCCTATCCTTGAGGGTCGTTGGCAGTCCATCTCGATGGACTTTATCGGTCCTCTTCGTCCTCTGACCCCTCGCGGTCATGATGCTATCCTGGTCGTCGTTGACCGCTTCACGAAGCATGCACGCTTTGTTCCGTGCCGCTATGCCATCAGTGCACGTGAGGTCGCCGACATCGTGTTTGACCGAGTCGTGCGTGACCACGGCTTACCTCTGAGCATCATATCTGACCGTGACCCGCGCTTTACAAGCCGATTCTGGCGACGGCTCCACGAGGTGTACGGCACTCAGCTCCGCTTCTCCTCGTCTTACCATCCTCAGACTGATGGTCAGACCGAGATCACGAACAGGACTCTCGGAGATATTCTCCGAAAGATTGTTCGTGACGACCAGCAGTGGGATCTCCATCTTGCCCACGTGGAGATAGCCTACAACCACGCCGTCTCGCCAGCCACGGGGATGTCGCCTTACTATTGCGACCTTGGCTATCACCCTCGTGTTCCCGCGGACTTCCTTCGACCGTCCCAGCTGCACCCCGACACGAGTTGTCCCGCGCTGGATGATTGGGTTGCACACATGACGTCGATAATGAAGACCGCACATGAGCACATAGCCGCTTCCCAGACTCGCATGGCAGCACGTACAAACCGATCGAGAATGGATCATTCATTCAAAGTCGGTGATGATGTGCTTATTGACGCCCGCCACTTACAGCTCGAAGCGGACACGCTTCGCAAGTTTCGGCGTCGCTTCTTTGGCCCATGCCGCATCCTCCAGGCCGACGGTTCTGATACGGCATCTAGCCCGGTCAACTTTCGTGTGAAGCTGCCCGACTACCTACGCCAGGCTCGTGTGCACGATGTCTACCACGTCTCGTTACTGCGTCCTTACCGCAGACCGTCTGAGCGTTTCGCT